ATATTCAGCTGCATAAAACTAAACAGGGTTGAAAACCTGTTTAAATATGTTCACCATGGTCCATTTATGTACATAAATTAATAATAGAATAAACTATATAATTTTATTTTAGTAAGATAGAAGTTAACATTTAACCACTTTATATATATTTTTTCATATCATTACAATATTCAAGTAAGTCGAAACCAAATACTTACATTTAAAGTGTAATTCGGTAATTAAAAGTGAAAAAAAAATTTACAGTTCAGGCTCCTTTGTCTCACTGTGGTTTTAATCAACAGTGAAATTTCAACAAAATCAATATTAATGTCACATAATCAACATTATGTTGATTCGTTCTGAAATTAACAAAGAATCAATGGTAATGTGGTTGAATCAATGTGATGTCAATTCAACATTATGTTTCGACCCTCAATTAATGTTATTTTTTAATTTTTTTAATGTTTTTGTATTACAAATTTTAACAAAAAAAGTGCAGTGTTGATTAATTGAACAGGTTGTGTAACGGAGCCGACGAGACGAGAGGTGTGCGGATTCATATGCAAAGCTTTATTCTGAAACATGGTCAAAACAGGCAAGGGTCGGACAATGGCAAACAGGTATTCAGAGGGCAAGACAGAAGAGTACTCGGATAAACAGGTGTAGGTTGATCAATGGCGAACATAATCCAAAGGAAGAGGCAAGAAAGTAATCCACAGACAGATGATAAATCCAGGCGAGGTGCGAACAGAATCCAGAGAACACGATGAGAGAGAAATCCAAGACAGGCAGGTAATCAGGAAACAGACAATAAGGCAAAACTAGACGTGACTAAACTGGACTGTAACTAGAAACTAGACAAAACTCAGAAAGGATACCAGCTCCGTAAAGTAAAAATTGAGACAAAATAATAATAATTTGTTATAGGAGTCTGATGTCATTATGACTGCAAGTGGTTCAAAAATTTGAGCTGTAAAAATCTGGCTCTCATCAGCCTGTTTTCCTTCTTTTCCTTGGGTTCTTTGAGATGTGAAAAAGAAAGAATGATGTTATTTAAATGACAATTTACAATACAGTCAGACAAAGGAATTTTCAAACGTTAAACAACATGAGCAGCATTTTCAATTTGCTGGACACAAACAAATTGAGAACTATAGTTTTAGTATTGTTAAGCATCAAGTCTGTTTACTTAATCCATCTAAAATTACTAATGCTTCAATGTCCCTTACCATTTCTATAATTAATGTTTGTAAATGGAAGCACTATAGCAGGGTTAGAATTATATTCATGCTTTTGAAGGGCCAGCTTCCAGTCAAATTTATCTCCAGCCCAAATAAAACACACCTAATGCAGCTAATTAAGGTCTGTAGAATTAAACTAAGCTAATTAAGATGTGTAGAATCTTCCAGGCAGGTGTGCTGAAGCTGACAATGTTCTGCATGAGCTGGATTGAGCAGCTCTATGGCCATTACTCACACAGATGTAAGTTTGTAAATTATCTCAGCTCATTTCACATGAAAGCATTTATCATTCAAGTGATGATCGACTCGACTACAACTCAATGTATGATCAATGTCATGGTCATTAAGGGGGTCCTTCTCATTTCTTTAATTGTCCATCCTTATCTGCAGAAACTCGTCCCGCTAAAGGAAGATAAAGATAGATAGAGGTCACTTGACTTGATTTATGACACTCATGCATTAAAATGTTGATGGAACTTTGTCAATCAAGACATATCTAATACATTTTTGTATATATAGGAATGTTAATTAAAACACTTTAATAACCTTTGAACCTGCTTTCTGCAAATGCAGAAGTAAAATCCCAATCGGTGTGTGTTTGCAAATAATGATGGGAGTTTCAACTGCTTTACCTGACTTAATAAAATCAGGACGACACATCCGAACCCCTAAACCTGCCCGCAGCAGATTAGAGCGAATCGGGTAAACACTTTAAAATGCCCATCATTTGCAGACGCCCCACTGATTGGGCAACAACCACTAGCGCGCTACATGGAAAACATACTTGCATGATCTTGTGTTCATCACCTACACATCAGTAGGTGTGTTCGACGTCAGACGGATCGGTGTAGGACATCGAAGCACCTCTAGACTACAGCAACGCTCTCACTGTACTTTGATGTCAAACACAACGATCCGTTTGCACCGCCGCTTCACATCGAACACGGTTTAAATGTGGCACAGTGTTGAAGACAACAAAATCACAGCTGCACAATGACACATTCAGAGCCTCATGAGGATCATGTGATGCACGATATCACATGACAATTATCTGTTCTTAATGTAGCAGATGTCAAGTTGTACCCGCGGGACAGAAGCACGACCACACATGGATGAGATGAGTGATGGAATTTATTCCACAAGTTTTGATGAAGTTAACACTCTCAAAAAATATCTTTGAACACAAACAATATAAAATAAAATACTATAAAGTAAATGATATTAAATAAAATATAAAAGTCACAATCAATTGGCTACATTAAGCACACATGAGAAGCTGACTTTACATCAACATTGAACAAGGAGTCAGGAAACAAAAGTTTCTTTGCACAAACTCTTTTGGAGCAGCAATAAGGGAGTAAATATTGTGAGGGTTGGTTTTAAAACACGTATCGGCCAAAACATTGATTCATTTAGAAACTTTGACAAGAAAATAATTCAGGTTATGGTACTGGCCCTGCTTTGCTTTAGTTCTTTTCTGAACATGCCCAGATTCAATCCTAAACTCTACAGGATCTCGGAGAAAGAACAGTAAAATTATGGAATAAACAGACTCCAGATGAAATGCTTGAGAGGCTGTGTTTTTCCTGTGTTTCAAAAAATCTTTTTGCTTCCATTTTCACTAAACTAAGTTATTCAAACAATATCTGAAGTCTGTTCACTGACTGTGGGCATGAAGTCACCACTAACACACCAACCAGCGGCAGTGGCCTTTGCCACACACACAAAGAATGTGAACTGTTTGCAGCAAAATCTATTCTGAGCATAAAGACAAACAGCGAGTCTGTGAGTTTGTGACAGAGGAAAAAACAGCAAAGCCACTTAAAGTGAAAAGGAGGCAGCCATAAAAATGCCTTGAGATGTCTGAGAGGAGGTAAACACAACTGCAATTACAAACAGAACAAAATGATGTTGATGCATAAAATACTTTTCTTACAGTCTGACCCACGCCACTGCCTTTGACTGCTTTTGATCCTTTTGGTTAAAACGTTATGAGGAGGTTGTTTTAGCCTGCAAAAGAAAAAAAAAACGGTAAAACCAGGTGCATGAGTGGTGTTGTTTATATAGTCACAGTTGAGCTCAGGTACGTGTGGCTATTTTCTCTCTGTGACGGTTTGATTCTCAGACCCGGCCAGTCCTGAGCTTTGAGGACATGTACTGTACAGCTGAGGACAAATACGGGAATGAGATGAGTAAAAATTGACTGTCGTTCTTACGATTGTTCTTATCAGTACAACATGATTTGATCTGGATTGCATCTGTACTTCCTTCTATACTGCTTTTAAAGCAGAGCATATTGGTTATTAATTATCTGACTTATACTGTCTTTCGTGAATTAATCTCCTCAGTTGTAAATGAGTCAGGCTTTTCTACACGTCTCACAAGGATGCGAGTACTCTGAGACATTCCCATAGAGCACAAACCAAGCTGTCATTCTCTTTATTTCTGCCTGAGCATAGATGAAATTAAAATCATTATGATCCGAGTCAATAATTCAGCAAGTGTTTTATATATATTACGACAGTTTTTAGCTATTTCTACCCGATTTAACCCATAAAAATTAGTCTTGTTGGTATAACCTAATGTAAATAAGCTTATTCAGTGATGTTAAATAATATTTTTGACCTGAACAAACGCAGTTAATTTAGTCGTTCTTTAGTGCACTAATCTTCTCAAAGAGGTTTATACTACGGCTCTCTCATTATCTGATGTGGTGGTCTGTTTGCAGGGTGGAGCTTAATGGCCTGATTTTACTTGCAAGGAAAAAAGGGGCCTCTGAGACTGTGGAAAGCGGTTGGGCTCTTCTATATTTGCTTTGACCATATACACATGCTCCACCCTCGTCACGCAGCCCACACAAACCACGCAGTTCCTTCAGACCTCACGAAGCTTAAAAGGTCCTTGTGCTATAAATTCCTTGATGCAAGATGCTCTCATATTTTGTCACATAGGCTGTAGATCATAAAGCAAACGTTTGAGATTGTGTATGTTGCACCTAAGCTTGCGTATCTGCGCACACTGAGCTCAAGCGCTGGACGTAGGTGAGCGAATGAATCTCGAGCTGCGTGTGGGTGGGAGGGTGAGGTCAGTTTGAGTAAATCACTCTGCACCACATACAGGAGGGGTTCTGCGTAAATGAGCATGTTGGAGTTTCACTGGCGCTCTAAATAGCAGACGGCACAGTAATAAAAGCAACAGCTGATTAGCAGCTGCTACAGTAAGCAGGTTCTTCCTCCTCGAAGGCAGGACAATGCTAAGTGCTAGCACATGGTGTGGACGTGACCCACGAGAATGAAACACAGAAAGCACACATAAATGACAAACAACATTTGGTTAGAGAAATGCTGTACTACTAAGTGTTTCTGGGCCATCATTGAGGTTTATGTGTATTCCTGGACTGTAGACACTAATTGGTGCTCACAGATTTAGATGAGACTTAAAAACTCAGAAAACCCGTCCTTCACATGTGGATTCATGGATTCTTTAGCAACAGCTCTGAAAGAGATCTTTGTTCATTTCAAGCTCTTTTCACAGGCCCATGTGAAATCTGCTCCTACAGAACGGCCATCAGTCACATGTTCTACAGCTTATATGTATTTATTATGTTTAGACCTTAGCTATCACTCAAAGTAATCTATCACTCAACTAAATAACCTGTTTATTATTGATTGATCAAATCTTTAGAACACAGAAAACACATAATGAATTTCAGGCAAGGTTAAGTAAAATTTATTAATGCCTTAAGGGAAAATGTAAAGCCTGTATTACAAGACACCATGGGTTTTTTGTAACAAAGTGAACTAATGTAATATGAACATAATTATGAAATGATTCATTGTCACTTTTGTTTCTAACAAAGAGCCCTTGTCAAATAAGACAATATATTAAATCTATGAAACTGTTTTTTTTTTCTGTATGAGTCCTCCTTTGATATCGTTCATAGAGTTCTGCAATCCGGCAGCAGTAAGAATATCTGAACATACAGCAGCAGCTCATTTCTCCCCAAACAAACACACATACAGTACAGTGTATACAGTCAAGAAGACTTCAAACGCCTGCTAGATCCCAATGCAATCCCTGTCTTCAACTACTCATCAAATGAGCTCACTGGCCATTTATCAAAGAAGGAAATAATATTCTGTTTTTCAATACTGCTTTAGAAGTGATGCGAGGAGTTCATTTTGCAGCTAGTTTCGATCATGTCACATATTACTTCATGAATCTCATCATTCTTCTTCATGAAGTATGTGTAGAATCATAAAAATGTTCTCTCCTCAATCAAACTTACTGATTTATCAGTCAGCATGTCTTTGTTTTCTGCAAACTTGTATCCAAACAGAGTCATAGTGGGGCCGCACACTTTCTGCACCAGCTGCACCAGTTTGAAGGGAATGCTGAACCTCCACTTCTCCACCTGCTCCGAGGAGTTCTTCTGGGTGGAATAAACTCCACTGACCTCCTTAGACACCTGGGTATTTTTTAAGATCCACTCTTCCACCTTTGCAGTGAAGGGAATGCCTATAAAGTCATACATCTCTGCAGCTTTGCGCATGGGGAATCGCGCGATGTCCTCGTAGCGCACAAGCATGTAGCGTCCGCGGAGCCACGGCGGCTGCTTCAGTCCGATCTCAGCAGATGTGCGGATGTTGTCGCAGTTTCCTTTGAGCTTCCTCACTTCATCCTCGTCCACCGGAAGGTCTCCATCCACGGCCCAGCGCTTCCAGATGTCGTACTTGCTGGAGAAGGCCACCATGCGCGAGGCCAGGACGGCGCGAGGATCTCTGACCAGCTGGATGAAGGTCATGTCGAGCCTGGGGTCCTCTGCCAGCGGCCGGAGCGTCTCCAGCTGCCGCACACGGACGGACTTAATCACGCGGTGCTGCTTCTGCATGCAGGACTGAGCGGCCAGCGTCAGGTTGAGCGGCCCGCAGCGGCGCTCGCGACAGTGGTAGCGCTCGAACACCTTCCTGACCAGCGGCGTGCAGACGGGATCCTCGCACAGCGAGCGGCTGGACTCGCGCCGGAAGAGCGCAGCGGTCACATGATCCTGTGGCGGCGGCTCGATGAAGCTCTCCAGCAGCGAGAAGTCACACAGGAGCAGCTGGCGCAACACGTCTCGATACGCTGGCGCCGCGACCGAGGCGTTGGTGCCGCCGCTCTCGACAGTCAGCATGCGCTCCACGTGCCACAGCGGCTCGAACAGGTAAAACATGCTGGAGCCCTGCTGGTTAAAGAACTCTCCCACGAACGAGGAGCCGGTGCGAGTCGTGGCCAGCAGAAGGATGTGCTTGCGTCCTCCGCTCTGCTGGACGCTCCGAGTCGAGTTCTCCAGAGCACTCAGGTGTTGGTGGGCCGAGGCGTCCGTCGAGACATTGTGCTGCGCAGCGGACAGCAGAGAAGCACTGAGCATCAGCAGCGGGGTCAGTCTGGGGGTCAGTTTATCAGACACCCTGAACAACACAGAAGAAACCACAGTCACACACAGAGTGGATAAAACTATTAGTGCTAAAGGGACATTTCACCCAAAAATGATCATTCTGTCATCGATTATTCTCCCTCGTGTCCTTCCAAATGTGTATGACTTCCTTTCTTCTGCAAAACACACAAACATTTTTTTGTCCATACAACGAGAGTCAATTTGTCTTCAAAATGTTTTCTTTCCGAAAGAAAGTCATACGGGTTTGGTACAACATAAATAAATGATGAGAAAAAAATTGTAATTTTCAATGGAACTATCCCTTTAAAGTGCGCCTATTATGCCATTTTTAAGGTTGCTAATATTGTTTTATGAGTCTCCTAAAACAGGTTTACATGCATGCAAGGTCAAAAAACACGTTAGTTTTCTCAAAAAATTAATTTAATTTTACCTCATTTCTAAATGATTCATAAACGACTCGTGCCAAGCAGTTCAAAGAATCAGTCTCTCTAAACCCCTCCTTTCCGTGAGCCCTCACTGCTGTGATTGGTCAGATGGTGCAGTCCTTTGTGATTGGTCCAGAGCCGTAGAGAGATTGGCTCTGGATTGGTCTACTGCGTACAGCGCGTATCGGAAACGAAACGCTCATTGCCATGACGGAGTGACAGCCCTGGAGACTTGTCAATACATAGAAAAGATGGTATCGATTGTACCTTACCAATTCGAGCCGGAGTCTGATGATGAAACGGTTGAATCGACAAGAGACTGATTCGCAAGCACGACTGGAGCAGGACGTTTCTCAGTGTGTAAGTGTCAAGTGTTAAGTTTAGGATACAGCATCTTCTCGACATGATGTTAACCACACGGAAATGTTACTGTCTGTAGGCGGGCAAGTTGAAGCTGGCAACGTAGAACGTGGGCGGACATTATGCAGATGTGTTACTTCGTGACGTAGAGCCGTAACAGAATAAGATTCGAATTCCTGACGACTCGTTTAGGCGATTGCGAGCCAACTCTTTTTTTTGATAGACAATAACTTTATTTATCGTGCACTGTCGGCTTCACAACTTTGCAGATAGTTTATGTTCACATACAGCTACATGACACACTGCATGAAAGGTAATATTTGAAAAGGCATAATAGGGGCACTTTAATATCTAATCTCTTCTCAAAGAAGCAATTTCTCTAAGAACAGACATTTGTACACGGCAAAATTAATAACAGATATTCACCAACACAACCGACAAGCTTTGATTTGAATGTTTTCTGACTTTTAGATTACTGTAATCCTCCACTGCATCACCAAACTAAACACACAGGTGTCACACATACAGAGGAACAAACAGAAGAGGAGAGTGAGAAAACAACCTACTTTGAAATAATGTTGTTTTCCTTTTCTATGATGACCAGAGCCACAATAAAGATGATAGAAATGGTATATTTAATGCGCATTCTTGTGTGTGATTGTGTTCAGTGGGTGATTCACGCTCAGATCATTCCTTCATCTTTTTCCTCTGGTTGGACTCTGAAATAAAACACACACGTGACACATGAGTCATGACAAACACTGTAAAACCACACTAATCTAGATTTATTCTCCACTTCACACCCACAAATACATCTGATTTAAAAGTATTTGCCTTTTTATAGCATGTGCGTAATCATTAATTCAAGCTATCTCGCTGCAGTCATGGATAGTCCATGTTTTTCTGTCAGTAGTTACTGTAGATAATTATTCTTAGGTCTCGTATGAATGTACGATATATCGGAGCATAGTTAGTAGCATTCGTTTAAATGTGTTTTATATTATTAATAGCATTGTCAAATGTAATATATGAGTTATGCTTTACAATCTGACATATAACGACAGGTTTGGTTTTCATAAATAATCTGAATAAATCTCTTGATGAGGCTGAAAGAGACGAATCAAATGCAAGATAAGTGGATGTTGACGTGTTTGTAAGTGTAGTTCTGTGAGCGACTGGCAGGCCGTTCATATGGAGTCAATTCAGCTGCATTTCTATGCTGTTTCTACACAGTTATGTACTCTGCATAGTCTGAGATATATTCATAGCACAACATGCTGCTTAAAGATGTACTGACGTTTGCTCTGGAAGCAGAAGACAAAGACGTAGTAATAATAATAGTGATTCTTGTTTTAGTAAACAGCACTAATTATAACTCGCTGTGAATCATGTGCAATACTGACACCACAGCAGAGGATGCTGGGAAGGGTTTCAATTAAAAGCTATAAACACCACTAAAATATAAAGACAGTGTATTTCACATGCAAACAATCACTCATTAATACAAACAACAGAAATCTGGGTAACACTTTACAACAAGGTTTCATTTGTTATCATTAGTTAATATAAACCTATCATAAATTCTTCCTCTGTAGCATTTATTAACATTACATAATGCACTGTGAACTAACAAACAAACAATGAACAACTGTGTTTTTATTAACTAACATTAACAAAGGTTAATAAATCCTGTAAAGATGATAATGCTCACAGTTAGTTCATGTTAATTCATGTTAACAAATGAGACTTTATCATACCTTCGGTAAGAAAGACTTACAGAAATCTTGCTGTTTCAGCTCAAACAGTTTTCAGAAATGGGTGAGGTGATTAAACTGATTTCACCTCATCATGATTTGAAAAATACCTTTACAGTTAAAACAAATACATTGATAAGCAACATTTGCTGTGTAAATCTGAAGATTTCTCCCAGAAACTGCTGAAACTGCAAACAGACAGAACAAAAAAACATTCATTACACTAAACAGCGACTATGACGGAAATATTGCCTTAAAGCCACAATACAGCTAAATTACACCTCTACAGTTTGAGTTACATCTTTTTCTTTTATGCACGCAATTGTGTTGACATATGAATTATCCAGATTGTCTACAAGTCTTCACATTTTATGTGTCTGTGCATAAATGGCGTAAATTTGCAATTATACTGGTGAAAAAAACATGTTTAGCAGCAGAGATCACAGGATCATCCCAGACACATTGACTCAACACTTACAGGTTCAGACAGAGTAAATCCTCTGTAGTCTGTTATTTGGAGAAATAAATGTGATTCTGTAAGATTCCAGTTTCAAGATGTTTATGAACATTTCTGAGCAGAGATCAAACCCGCTGCATTCAGTGTCACAGATAGTCACTTGCTCTCATGAAGAAGCAGTTTTAAAAAAAAAGGACTTACATTGGAACAACACAAAAGTACAGCATCACACATACACAGTACAGTAGTATGTGTTATTGGGTTTATGAGCCGGGGTGAAAGACTCTCACCTTCAGGAACACCAGATAACCAGTGCTCCAGTCTAAAGCGGATATCTGTGACCCTGTAAGAGTGGCTTGTGTGGGATAATAACACAGTACTGTAGGAGGCTGAGAGAGACGCTGTCCGGCCAGCAGACGGTGGTTAGGAGGCAAGTTCTGTCTTGCACTGTTAACCTGAGCCACAAATTAGACTCAGAAAACCTTTACATCACCACCAAAACTCTGATCAAATCATTTCATGTATTTAGCCGAGTGAACGCTCATCTTCCCACGCGGTCTCTGTTACTCGCTCATCTCTAGTCTTCTAACCAAAACCTGAACTAACTGGAAGCTGCACCAAAAAAACGAACCTAAAATGCTTCATGTTTTCTGTTTCTATTCTCGTTTATTGGCGATAATCATCTACATGCCTGTAATAAGCAAAATACAAATCTTAACAAAACAGGAGATCTTCACCCTGTGCCTGCGTTATTCACACTCATATTTAGACTGCTGGTCAAAAGTAAATGATCATTGATTATCATCCTGTAAAAGACCTGAAAGCTGTGCTTCATCTCACACTCGTGCCACATTCCTCACACACACACTAGAGAGACGGACACAGCGAGCCCTCAGTAAACAGCACTTCATCTGATCAGAATCAACTAAAGACCTGCGAGAAAGCAGCCTTCGCCAAATCTCACAGCGATATGATCAGATGAATAGCGCGGACTGATAGTGATGCAGATGTTACAGCATCAGTCGCAGTCACAGATGAGCGACACATTACATGCATGACTTCAACAGTTCAGCAGTTATATCAGACAATGAGAAACACATCGAAAGTCATTCATGATCATTTTGAAATGACAGCGGAATAAAGTATGATGATACTGTACCATTATATTTCCGTGTTCGTTACTTTCCTCGATCACTTGATGAAAAAAAACACAGTAACATCCAGATCACGGTGTGTAAAATTCAGTATTCAGTAGTTAAAAAAAAAAACGAATCCATCATTTAATAATCATTCACGTCCAGCTCTGTAACACATTAAAACTATTAAATCAAGAAATTACCTACACAAACATCTAACATTGATCGGGAATGCAAAAAAACCTCACAAATGTATTGTATTTGTGGATCGAAATATGTTTAGTTTAAAAGCGATCGGGCTGCAGAGACAGATGCGCCTCATCAGCGGAGCGAGACCGACGCAACACTGCGTCACTGCGTCACTGCGACGTGCGCGCCCCCGCCAGCGCAACATCATAATTACAAAAAACAACAACGTGATATTTTATTACAGGAGCACCAACACAGCGCAAAAGTGTATGACAGCTCGGTAACATATGTATTTCTCGTAGAAATAATAATCATAATAGACTAATTCCCTCATTCTTTCAAGGCATGATGGAATGATGGAATGTTTCTTGGAATAATGTAATAGCATTTACATTGTGGGAGAAAGTATGGCTACTTGCTGGAAAAGGTTTCAATATTATATTATATATGAAGATTAAGTATTAATAATGTTTCATTAAAACACTTGAATGGAATATAAATTTTACAAATTACTTTGTACGTTGTGTTGGAATGATATGGCTGTTTGCTTTGTTTATTAGGAACGATCAAAACAAAGACAATTGTGCAACAATATTCGGTATTCATAAATCATTTTTAAATGGAATATTGTTCAGTCTTAACAGTATCAGACCGTTACTTTATTTGTTTCTTTAGTCTAGTTGTTCTAGTATGTGATTAATAATTAAAAAAATAGAATAAACAAACGGAACATAAATTATTTAAAAGCTAACTCTGAAACGTTAACAAATGCAGAACGCTTGTCCCAGCTGAAGAAGTCCAAACTTCAAGACCCATAGTGCATTGCGTGGCTGTCGCCGGCCTGTGACGTCACACTCAGGAACGCTCAGGAAGGTGTTTACAGTGTGTTGCGTCACTGGTGAAGACGCATCGGAAAGGTGAAGTTAGATAACAAACCAAATGGTGAGTTTTACTTAATGTAATGTTTTACAAAACGTAACGTGTAAATGTCGTTCTACAGGATTATTCGCTGGACTCATATCTAGGCAAACACTGATAGCACTGAACATCCTCTGCTTGTTCTTGAGTTTGTCGTTGCATAAAATCTTCCTCTTGTCCTGTTTAGCGGCTGTATTCACTCTGCTTCACGCGAATGTGTGATAATTAGCTCTGCTTTCTGCCTGTGTTTCAGTATTGTTCAGTGATGCTGGTCACACGCCTGTCATGCCTGCGGTCAGTCCTGCGGAGTCCAGCCCTGATGAAGTCTGGTCCAGTCCTGATCAGACCACAGCAGGTTCCGAAGCTCTGTTAGCCAGATAAGAGCCTCACTGGAGCGGCTCGCCTGTGAACTAGCAGTCGAGCGCCAGGGCTGTGTTCTGATTAATCATGTGTTGTGCTGTATTTCATGTATTTCAGGGTTACTCCACCAAGACTAGACTGGGATTCCGCCGGAGCAAGACGGCCAAAGATCACGCGTTTCAGCCTGCTACAGACACGGCGATTAAAAGTGAATTCTGTTAACATGTCCTTTTATAAAGAGCGTTTTCTCCACATGTATGTATTTTTATAAAATGATTATGTTTTTGGTGCCGTTCACACCGCTGTACCATGTGTCTGATCTAGAGTCGTTAGGCTTGTTTGAGATAGACAAGTTCTGCATGCTGGTTAGAAATGCTGTGCTAAAATACTCTGCAGCATTTACCAGCAAAATAAAATCATGATGGGAAATGACTGTCAGCTCATGCTCGTTGGATTAGAACCATCAAACACACACGTTCAGACTCGCACCGGTTCTGTGTGTCTTTGGATTGTGGAGGGAAACTCTTAGTCTTAACTTCTGATTTAGTTACAAGTAATCTTGTCCTAAATGCTTTAGACCCTGTTCTCAGCTGTATCTGGTGCTTGTGATCGGATCACCTGAGGTGGATGTTAATGCCAGGTCTGAACATTATGTAATGAATGCATGTTTGAATCTCTAAAGCTTCAAACTCAAAATAAGTAAAGGATATTTATATGTATGGCCCCTTTTAAAAGACACCCCAGGCGACTCCCCATGAGACCGATGACGTTTGTGATTCTGTCCTCTGCAGTCGACAGCATGGGCCGGATCGTCCTCGCTGGAGGCGCCGCTGTTGGACTCGGAGCTTTGTGTTATTACGGATTAGGCATGTCCAACGAGATGGGAGCCATCGAGAAAGCAGTGTAAGAATCACCTTCACATCAAACACTGTAAAGGCTAGAACTGATCTGATGATGAACTTGTCTGTGAATCAGCGGCTCTCGTCTGATCTGCAGACGGCACACGACTGGTTTTGTAATCTTGGTGATAACTGGTGTAATCTGATCATGTCTGATTCACTACAAAGCAGTTCATTTCGATCTCTGCAGAAATTTCTGTTGAGTTAAACTAGAGTAGATAAAGTCTGACACGTTTTACTTCTCATTTTAACGTTTGAGTTTTATAATGTGGCGCTGAGAAAGAACAGCTTCATGGTATGATCATGTCATTCATGAGACCTGTTAGGAGCCGCTCAACTGAGCTGGATTTAATGTGACTGACAGTCAACATGTATACAAGCTTACATTGCAGATATTCTGTAAGAGCTCCTCATGTGAAGTCTTTGAAGGAACACTTTGTGCTTGATGCAGACTGAAGCTGTGTTTGCAGGATCTGGCCGCAGTATGTGAAGGACAGGATCCACTCCACATACATGTATTTCGCGGGCAGCGTGGGTCTGACGGCGCTCTCGGCTGTCGCGGTCAGCAGGACACCGGCGCTCATGGGACTCGTGATGAGGGGCTCCTGGCTGGTACGCTAGAGATCATACTGCTTTTTATTCATCGCCCTTTACATACACTCTTCATAACAACAAATCAACAAAACGTACTGTAAGGCAGCTACTAATTATATACTGTATTATAGCATACTACAGTATAGTGATTATAGTAATGATTCAGCTTGTAGTTTAATATTCACATTGATGTTTAATGCTGTGACAACCTTATGAACGATCCGCAGGCTATTGGCGCCACGTTCGCTGCTATGATCGGCGCTGGGATGCTGGTGAGGTCGATCTCGTACGAACACAGTCCGATGCCGAAACACCTGGCCTGGGCTCTACACGCAGGTAAAGTGCTTTCACTGCTTTAACTGACCTCTAGAGGGCACTGCAGTCTGCGTTTGTGCTTCTGCTGGGTTAGTTTAGCACTGCTAATGTTTCTCTGGTGCTCATGACGTCGTGTGCAGGTGTGATGGGAGCCGTCATTGCTCCGTTAACTCTGCTGGGTGGCCCGCTGATGGTTCGAGCAGCCTGGTACACCGCAGGAATCGTGGGCGGTCTGTCGACGGTGGCCATGTGTGCGCCGAGCGAGAAGTTCCTGAGCTTGGGCGGCCCGCTGGCCGTGGGCTTCGGCGTGGTGTTCGCCTCGTCTCTGGGTGAGATGCATTTACAGTCCGCCGCAGACTGTGTGGCTGTTTAATCTTACAGACTTCACAGGAGCTTCTTCTGTTCTCTCCTCTCTGCAGGCTCCATGTTTCTGCCCCCCACCTCTGCATTCGGGGCCGGCCTGTACTCGGTGGCGGTTTATGGAGGTCTGGTCCTGTTCAGCATGTTTCTGCTGTATGACACACAGAAAGTCATCAAGCGTGCCGAGACGCACCCTCTTTACGGCGTTCAGAAATATGACCCCATTAATGCGTAAGTGTTTTCTGTGGGCAAGCTAAGAGTCAGACTTGTGCATTTGTAATATGTGTTTCGTTTCATTCGGTCTTTCTATCGTTTAAACGACACGCAGTATGACTGCCGTCTGTTAACATCACTGCTCCTGCTCTTCCAGATGTATGGGCATTTACATGGACACGCTCAACATCTTCATGCGTTTGGTGATGATTCTAGCTAACGGCGGCGGAAACAGGAGGAAGTAGCCGTAAGGAGACAAGAACACATGACACTGACTGGATGAGAAAGATTTAGCTGAACAAAGTTTATTCATTTATTTTACATTTATTTGTATAAAAGCAGAAAAAACTTTGTATTGCTTTCAGCTTAATTGCATTTTAAACATGTCCAACAGTACAAGGTAATTAATGTGTCTTATCAGATGAGGCTGAATGCAGATCGTCTTCCACAGCTGGTGTAATTATAACAAATATTTTTGTATATTTATTTTAGGAAAGAGATCACAACAGACTTAGTTATTGCACAGAAAACACTGTGATTGTTCTGTTCTTGCAGTTTGGGGTTCATGGTTCAATAAACTTTAGTGGTATCTCAAACTACATCTTTAACATTTAATCACCATTTTTCTGACATTTTAACAACATATCTGGCACTGAAGACATAAAAGCTGAAGACACTAAACTTTAGAGCAGCTGATGTTGAATCCTCAAGACAGAAATTCCTCATGTGTTCTGTTATCTTGCCGTTTCATTGTTTTCTTTGAGCGTTTAGTTGAATTCAGTGTTGTCTGATGATTTTACACATTGATTTTAGGGTCTTTGATTCTTCAGATTTTTTCCATTTATTTCCATGAAGTCTGTGTTGTGCTGTTATGAGAGTATCTGACCAGCGGCAGATGACAGTGAGATTAGAGAATAATCCTCGTGTCTCCATCTGTATTCTGATGCTGATTAATCCAGAGAGGATGGGGACATCAGCACTGCTGCAGGTGCCACTTACTTTAAAAACTTAAACGTTAGGAAATATTCTGGCGTGATTGCAGGTCTCTTTGACTGTCAAAGCACTTAAAGCGCATTATTGAGAAGTGACTGTCAGTCTCCACAGGAGCAGATCTGGTGTGTGTTTGTGTGATCATGTAGTCGCTCTGACTGTAAACCAGCAGAGGGAGCATCAGACACATCACTCTCAGAGGAGACGGGCAGGTGCCCCCAGATGTCTTGCCATAGGCTTGTTTTTAGTGAATTACTAACTGCATCTGGCATGTGTAGGCAGCTGCCTAGGGCCGCTTTCTTCCCCTCTATATACTTAATTTTAGGCGGTTTCTATAGCGTGATCTTAATGACAATGTCGAGAGCGCATAATGTTACGCGATCCATGTAATGCTCTCCACTCCAAGCGGATTTCCTTCACCCTCACAAAACTGCATGTGTGCTATTAAATATACATTGTTCTTTTATGAATTGGCTCAGATATTACGTGTAAACGTTGTCCTCGCATCACTGAAGACCAGAGGAGCTTTCTTTTCTAATTCAGGTGAAGAGTAGGCTTTTCTCACTAAATGGAAGCAAGCTGATTATAGTCAGCCTTCTCTAGTTATTTATTTTATTAATACTTATTTTAGTTAAGTGCTTAAATTGTAAATATGCATTTATTAAATTATTTTATTTAGTGCATTTGTATTTTGTTTTTGTATGTAGTTATACAACAAAAGTGTATCAACCAGGTTCCAGAAATAATCACTGAGGGTGCTTCTGAAATTAGTGAGGGTGCTCTAGTCTTAATGCACATTTTCACATATTTTGTCTCGTCTATTGCTATGGTTATCACTGTCAATCACTGCTACTTCGAGAGAGAATCCTGCATAAATATGCAGATGTCATTCCCGAATCTTTGCAATGTGTGTGTGGCCGAAAACAAAGTTCTACATTTTAAATGGATTATAAGCCTAAAAAGCGCGCTCATAACCACTAAACAGCTGTCACTCTTTGTTCATTGCGATCTCACAAAGTTACAATCACAGATTCAGTTCACAGAGTCAACAGAATACATTTTTTTCACAGTAAAATTCACACTATGTAACAAATGTTACACTTAAACACATATGAGGTAAGATGCAAACAAAGTAGCTGTATTTTAAAATATAATGACCAAACCTTCTTGAAAACCCTTCTTGGCTACTGAAACCATCTGAAAGCTTCGAGATCCTGAGTTACTCAGTCATAATTACAATTTGAGAGGTTCTTCATTTGCCATCATATTATATATATTTAATACAGATTGTTACAACTCTAAATTCTGAGTGGATGAATCGTATGAAGCTTGACGCATATGATAAATATTAACAAGACTATTTTTTTATGTTGCTTGAGAATTGCGAACAGCCACAGCTAATAAACTATAATACTCGATGGAACAGTAATTTATTTATTCCTAATATTAATGTTGTATTGAGAAGGATGTCTGTTATTAAATTACTGTTTCCGCCATTTAATAAAGCAATAATCTGCTTGAGACCATGAGTACAATGATTTCACTCCAAATCTTATCAGCACGCTTTACTGACAATATACTTACAGTAATGCATGCCTTAAGTGGCTTAATGATTTAAATATGTTTTCAAATATTATCTGTGTTCATTAGTTGTTCTGCAGTAGAAGTAGGAACACAGATAGGCTCGTCTCGCACTGAAATGGATGGAAGATGTTTTCAGTGATGGCATAGAAACTGATCAGACAAAAAACACAATTCCTCAGTGAACTGTTTACTGTCTGATTCGTCCTGAACTGCTTCTGTGAGTTGTTTGGTTGAGTAGAGTAAATCTGAGCTGTTTATTTGATTATTTTTCAAACTGCATATAACATTTTACAGCATCAAAAAGAAGCTCCATCATTCCAGCCCTTGTACTTAACGACTCGCTGTCATTCATATCAAGTTTTATGCAGAAATCCAGACTATTCTTTGAAACTATTTGTTCCTGCAGTGAAACTCTGGAGTGTCTGCTAGTCTGTGTGTTCAGGGCAGATCATATCTTTAATGTTCAGTTACTCGTACACTTACTCAAATAACTTTTCGCTCCATAATGTGTGAAATGTGTGACGCAGAAAAACAGATGTACGTCACATTCAGCCCTTAAAATAGGTCAGTGACATGCTGTGCTTTATCAGGAGCTGATGCACATGTAGACTTTATGGATGTATTGAAGGTTCTGTCATTCCATTTCATTTAGTTCTGAGTCCAGGTCACAGCGGGAGTTGTGGAGTCTGCTGCTGAAGGATAAACTTGCATCTTAAGTTTGAAAATAAAGACATGGCACTGTGTTCAAAACTCTTAAATGAACACACTAACCTGACACTTTCTATTAAAATGGAGTTTTTCATGGAGTTTCCCTTCATTCCTGTGGGTCGGCGGTGTTGTTCTGGGTCTGGTTTGAGTCACAGGATTACTGAAGCTGCGCTCAGACGTGTGTAAAGACGTCTTGAGACGAGCAGCAGCTGCAGTGCTCTCCATATGATCCTTCAGTCTCTACACTTCTGCTGCAGGATGAAGAGTATGACTTTAATTCTTCTCATCACTGTACATGTCTATGGGTGAGTTACTGGCTGTTTTACTGGTTAGAGACGAGTCTGTAGTCTGTGTGTATTCAGCTTCAAACTGTGATTGTCTCAATAATCCTTTAAGTATAATAGAAGGACTGAGCGAGTGTTTGCAGGAGAGCAGAGCTGTGCTTCGGAAATGAGCTACTTTGTGCTTTAAAATACACTCGACTTAAATCATTAGAATTTGCAGTAGAACTCTTGTTTTAGCTTTGGAGCAGTTATCTAAAATTCAGTGACATTCTTTACTGAGACTGAATTTCAGTTGAAATGGTCCAGATGATTTTTATGTCAATGATTTCACTCAAAATCACATCACAGCCCACACTTTATTTACCACATTGTCTGTGATTTTGTGTGTGTGAACATCATCATGAGGTGTAGTAGGTTTAAATGTTTGTTGTGTATTTCCATGTCATTTGATGCTGAGTTTCAGGGATTTGTCTTTTTCAGGGCGATCTGACTTTGCGCCGTGTTTCTATGATAATGGAGCTGGAAGCAGCAACGGAAACATGGGGTTATTCAGCATCTCTGAAGACACCTCCGTTGGTTAGCATTCACTTCTATGATAACGTGCTGTCAGATAGAGAGGAATAACAGACAATATGATAAAAGAACATCACATGTACTTACTGTATATAAGCACAGATTGAATGTGTCATATTGAACTAATCAAAGAACATAGATATAATGAGCCTAATCACTCTGATCCTGCTGAATACATATTTGTTGTGTGCAAAAATTTGTTTGATTTTTATAGAAACAAATATTCAGCTAATTGTAATCTAATAAGAGTAACGGGGAATTGTTTGCCGTGGCTTTAGGGTTCTAGGATTTTCTCGATATTGACGAGCACATTTTAATGTTAGCTGAATTTCTGGGACGTGTCTATATCTGTTTATGGTGGATATGACCCTGCTTGTACTACATTTAACAAATATGATAATATTTGCTACTAAGATACTTTATAGTAGTAAATAATGTATTTAAGATCATAAACACACAGTTCACCGGAGATCAGGTGTAATTCTGACTCATTCTTCCACAGGGACTCATGTTTACACACTGAACGGCTCTGACCCCGAAGACGAGCCGGTGACCTACGGCATGACCTTTGATAAGGGCTCCAAAGAGTACTTCAGCGTCGAGCCCAAATCAGGGAACGTGACTCTCATCCAAACACTGGACAGAGAGGTGAGAGAATCCCGACACAATATAAGGACATAATTCTGGAAAATAAACCATGAAGTCAAACGTATCTGTGTTAGTAATTCACTCGTTTCGATTGTTAAGGTTCAGTATGAGATCGTTGCATTTGTGACCATCACAGATGGGAGAAATAATTTGAAAAACATGATTCTGTTAAGCTTTGATCACAGGATTATTTCTTAAAGCTGAAGTGTGTGATTGTTTGTATGTTCAGCTAGTTTGTGGTGTGTAAGTCAGTCATCCCTGAAGAGAGACACGCTGTGTTCGCTGCACAGATCGATTCGCTTAGGACTGAAATGACAACATCACCACGAGAGTGATTTAAGAACAGTCTCTCTGATGACGAAACAGCTGTTTCACAGACAACAAACACTCTCAGTTTAGATAAAGCTCATATATACTTAATGTCATGCCATATTAAAAATATAGAACCCCGATTCAATGTTTTTTAATTTTTTGTTTTGTTTTTTAGTATAATTATTGTAGGAGAAATATATTGTTACCTATTTTAGGATTTTGATTAATACCTACTGGTGCCAAAATTACACGCTTCACCTTTAAGAAATATGCTTGCCTTTGACAGCTGATTTCATAAATATTATATTGTTCCTTAATTATTATTTAATCCCAGTCTTCTGCTTATTATGTGTATCGTGTTGAATGTGTTTTTACGGTGTATGTACTGTTGGTAAAGTCAGATTTACTTTATATCTCTTCTCCAGGTTGTAGAAAATGTTCGAGTGTTCATCACAGATGCTAACGATGAAAAGCCTGAGTTTCTGGATCTGCCGCTCGTAGTGGACGTCCCCGAGGTAAGAATGAGAAGCGGTTTGGAAATGAACAGATAAGTGTCATCATGAGTTGTTGTTGAAGTGTGTGTGGTGTGTGTTGAAGGACATCGCTTCAGGCAGCAGCATCTACAGAGTCCAGGCCGTCGACAGAGACCTCGGGTCCGGAGGAAGTGTGACCTACTCCCTGCAGGTCAGACAGAACCACTTCCTGTGGGGTCACGCTTTAATCATTTAGTCTCTTTTCAAGGGAACAAGATAATAATCAGTGAGGATATCTGAATCTGTAATGCCAGCGTTAAATCTGTGTGAGGCTCAGTTTGTAGAGGACAGTCGCAGGCTCGTATCGCTGGCCATCGAACAGATCGTGACACCAAAGCACCATCAGAAAATGTGCTGCTACTGGATTAAATTTCAATTACATTTAGGCAGGTTGAGGGCTTAGCGTGAGGCGTCTGAGGTCAGCGGAGCGTCCAGCCTCCAGTGCAGCTTCCTCCGAGGAAAACACATGACAAGTGAATGTCTATCATTTCTCATCAGTTCTGTTATAATTACATCCAAAGCTTATCAAAATTGCACTGAGAGCCCATGCATACTACATACTTCATCCAGTATTGTTTAATATCTCAGCAGCTTGTGACGGTTTTATATGTCATATTTTGGAACAGATTGCTTCCTGAAGTGTTTATCATTTTGTCTTTGTGTAGCTCCAACCCTGATCAAACTCACCTACCTGTGATTTTATAATGATCCTGAAGACATTGATTAGCATGCTCAGGTGTGTTTGATTAGGGTTAGAGCTGAAGTCTGCAGGATAGTGGATCTCGTGGGCCAGATTTGAGAATCTCTGCATTATTTGTTTCAGGAGACATTCCTTCATCAGTTATCATTTCGTTTGCAGTCGACGCCCAGCACTAAGTTCACCATCGACGGTCACAGTGGAGCTCTGCGCATCAGATCCGGAGAATCGCTGGACTACGAGGTCTCCAGGACTCATTTTGTCACTGTGGTTGCAAAGGTGAACAACAGACTCAACCGTGTGAAATTCCTCTGTCCTCTGAGATAGACCAGCTTGTTTGTGGTGATCTTTCGTAAAGGCATTTATCTTGTAACAGTGAAGTCCACATGAAGTGCAAAGAGGAGAAGAATTTTCTCCTGATTTCTCAGTAAGTACCAGATGCTCAGAGCTGTGTGTCTGTTTCAGGATGGCGGGGGTAAATATCATGGAAAATACCAGGTCATGACCTCCACAGCCATCATAACCATCAATGTCCTCGATACCCAGGATTCTCCTCCAGTGTTTGTTGCTACTCCGTATTTTGGATTTGTGTATGAAGTCTCTGTACCAGTAAGTGACATGATTTCATATCTAAAATCCTGAAAAAATAGAACTAAACGTTCCAGCTCAATTAATACCTTCATTGTGCTTGTTCAATTATTTTTGAAGAAATCTACAGAGATTTTCATTTAGAGGAGTCACATTTAAAAAACAAAAATTCTACTGATTGTAACTGGTTAGTGATAAATGAGTGCTAGACTCCAATGTATTTGACTGTATTGACTGGCTGAGGATGTCCAGTAACTGAGCTTTTATGGCGATGCTCTGTCTGTTTGTGTGTTTTGTGTGCAGGGCTCAGAGATATTCACTGTTTCTGCCAAAGACGGCGACCAGAACAACCCCAACACCATGCATTACTCCATTCTGAGCGGTCAGCTGCGTTATCACCTCACTGCTCATTTAACTTCTGAGCTCCAGAGCTAGACATTCATCGTGTCATAAATACTTCCATCAGTAATATCTCCTGTCTCCTCTTCTGTTCACTAAAGGCAGCGACGGCTTCTTCAGCATCAACAGCACGAGCGGCTGTATCAGCTTGACATCTTTCCCTGTACAGCTGAGGAACGAGTTATACGAATTACAAGTCAAGGTTGTCTATATTTATGATATGAATATCACTAAAGCTTGAGTAAGTGTTTCTAAGTAGCATCACACATGGCCTAATAAAACTTCTTTTATTGTAAATCAAGGCTGCAGAGGTTGGAGCCGACAGGTTTTCTGATTACAGCGTGACCACAGTCACTGTTCGTGTGGTGGACCTCAACAACCATCCGCCCACTTTCTACGACGAGAACGGCCCACAGAACCGCTTCGAGCTGAGCATGTACGAGCATCCGCCGGAAGGAGAGATACTCCGCGGCCTGAAGATCACGGTCAACGACTCGGACCAGGTGCACATTAAACTGCTGCTTTCATCAGACGTATACACCGGGGTTAGCTACCAGAGCGAGAGAGGTGTATTTCATTTAGATCAAATGAATAGCATTAAGCTATAAATACTAAAAGTGAGAGAATTAAACTGCAGGTTAACAGAAGAACAAGGCAGCAGTGCTGTATGCTTTCAGTCCTTCACATTTCACACACAAACCACAAACTCTGAGATTCACGCACATTATGGCACAGTGATTAAGAATAAGGTTGTTGACACCTGCCATACAAATTATTTGCTGTTTTTGCCTGTTTTCTATGCATTAAATAAACACTTTTATTAGAAATAGCACTTTGTTAAATTTTGAGGAGCTTTTTCTGTGAATGTTTTAATATTTTTTTCCCCATTAATGTTCCATAATCTCTGAATCTCCTGTTCTCGTTCAGGGAGCAAATGCTAAGTTCAGGCTGCTGTTGGTGGGACCTTCTCGAGTTCTCCGTGTGGTTCCTCAGACGGTTCTCAATGAAGCCCAGGTCACCATCATGGTGGAAAACTCGTCCGCCATCGACTACGAAAAATACCAGTTCTTAACATTCAAGGTCTGATCCTGATCTTTTATTTTGATCACACTGACAGTAGGTTATCTTTTAGCTGAATGTTTTATCCTGAGGAGTGTGTGTGCTGTTTTTCAGCTGTTAGCAATGGAGATCGACACTCCCGAGCGCTTCAGTGCCACTGCGGATATCGTCATCAATCTTTTGGACACAAACGACAACATTCCCAAGTTCTCCTCTGAGTTTTACATCGCCAGGATCCCTGAGAATTCCCCAGGAGGCTCCAACCTCGTCTCAGTGACCGTGAGCAGCTTGACATTGTTTAACAGTAAAGAATTAGCTTTCTCTTGCAGCTCCAGGTCTAATGTTGGACGTCTGGAGCGTTTGTGTGTGTTCTGTGTCTGTGTTTGAGCACTGAGGTGTATCTGGTGTTTTTCCAGGCGACAGACCCGGATTCAGGGCTTTGGGGAGAAGTGAAATATTCCATCTACGGCTCTGGCGCTGATCTGTGAGTACAGACCTCAGTATTGAACATTGCTGGCTTTTAATCAGTGATTCTTCTCTTATGCAACGCCATGTTCAGAAGTCCAATAACGGAGATAACATTTTGTTCAGTCATCTGTTTAGATTAAGCTTTAAATAATAATGGACATCACTGCAAATAACAGCTTGATATTTTTGCAAGTAAAAGATATCTTAATGGGCAATTCAGCTCAAACAGGAGGGGACCAAACTCAAAGCCTGTGATTTTAACTGGATGGTGTGTGACATTCTCACATTAGTTCTGTCAGTCATGTGCTTGAGTTTAGGGTTAGAGGTCAACTTCAGCAAAAGTGGCACAGATGACCTCACGCTCGTCCGTATCTGGACGCTTCGCTTGTTTTTATAAGGACCGGTGGTCTGTGGTGGTTCAAGCTCGTGATCGAGGCTCTCCATCCTTCAGCACAACGGCGGTCGTGAAGATCGACATCACGGAGGCGGTGAGACGTTTATACGTCAGGGTCACTGTGTGCGCTGCGGGATCAAAGCAGCTGTAATGAGCATTGTTTTGTTTGTGTAGAATACCATATTACTACCATGGTAAATGTCCAAAAAACACAAGTACTTTGAATTATCTGAATTCCTTGGTATAAAAACGTGGAGCTAACATGGAAGTTAACATAGTATTTCATAGTTCATCCACAGTACTTTTTCATCCATGTACTCATGATTTAATAGTATATCACTGTGGTTTATGTGAAGAAAATGAAAGTTCATTATGTTCTAATTATTTGCACTTGTGTGTTTTTCAGAATGGGCTCAAAGGGCCCATGGCTGCTTTTCTAATACAGAGCCGAGACAGTCCAATGAAAGCTCTTGGCCTGGCCGTCAGCATCATTACTGTGATGGTTTTGGTGACAATTATGATCTCCACCATCATGTACTTTCGCAACACAAAGTCCAACAGGATCACGCCAGCGCGCCACATCATTCGCAGGAGACCCAAAGAGCCACGCTGCTGGACCTTCAGGCTGTGGTTTGGACGGAGCGACCTGAGCTTTGGAAAGTTCTTCACTGACGATGAGACGAGGGACAACACAAACCACAGCAGCCCCAGAGCCAAGCCGCCGGCCCCCAGCGCTCCGGTGCTCCCTCCTCCGCCTCCGAGCGAGCGGCTGCGGTCAGTGCCCACGGTGTCCGGCTCCCTGGCCTCCAGAAACACCAGCCGCAGCTCCAGCTGGAGGACCAGCAAAAGCACAGACGGCACCCAGAGATCTGGCCAAAACAAAGACGGCAGTGGCATCAGCTCCACTCTAGTGTCTGAGCTTAAAATGAGAATAGAACAGAAAATCAATGAGGCAAATCAAGGCTACTATTACTGACACACTGACCGGTGTGAGTAACGGATACGATGTGTGTTTGATGGACCGCTGGACGCTTGATGTTACGAACAGCTCGCTGAGAAGAATGTTTCTTTTTTTGTGAAAGTGTTTTTAAAGTGGCCGTCTGGTTTACCCTTAAGTGTTTCGGTTTTTCAACATGCCGTACAGTCATTTAAGATCTAAGATTTCTATAGATTATTTATGTGACTATTGCATGTACTGACTGTATTTCTTCAGCTTTTGCCTTGAGGATCTTTGGTAAAAGTCTGCAGACTGTATGGACATCGGACTCTCATTTGTAGTTACTGCTGTCAAACCTTTTTTTTATTATTGTTATTATTGTTTTATAAAGAGTTTTTCACTGATATTTTTAAAGTTTTTTAATTTTCCTGTACATTTTCTGAGAAAGAGAGCAGATGAACGTCCATGTGCTATTTGCTGTAGGGCATATCTGAATGTCAAATGTGTTTATCATGAATCATCATATCAAGTCTGTGCTATAGCTGAATTTAGAAATAAAACATTTTTAAAGTGTTATCTAAAGAAATTAAAAGAGACTGATGTAATTGTCCTACTATTCAATTTTTATTGTTACATTTACATGAACTCATTTACCAAACATTTTTATTGAAGGCAACTTAAAAAATGAGGTAAAACCAGTGATTTATAACAGAAAAGCAAGAATATTTGCAGTGCTGCAATACTAGTAAAATCAGAGCTTCCTACTGACATTTTTTTACATTGTTAAATAATAATATAAATTGTAATTGTATTTGGAATCTAACCCAGATTCCTATAACTGTAGTACAGTATATCTTGAGAAATGTTTTGCCATTAATATTTCACATCTCGTTTTTAGGTCTGCTTTACATTAAAGAAAACAATGACTCCCACTAAGCTTTAATCAGTGTTGGGAAGGTTACTTTGGAAATGTAATCGGTTACAGATTACAAATTACCCTATTTCAAATGTAATAGTAGTGTAACTTTTTCAATGACTTTGTTAAAGTAATGTAACTGATTACTTTTGATTACTTTTCTACATTTCTAATTAATGTTTATTTGCAACTGTTAATCATTTTCAAACATTTACACCATGCAGGGTTAACCTTACAGTAGTGCTCAACACTGTCAGACTTTCACAATCCTTCATCACTTGAATTAAGATGATCAAATTTGAAAACATCCACCACAAAATCAGACTTTAGTACCGCCTTTTACTTTGAGATTGATCTGAAGTTCTGTTAAAATCATAAGAAATAGTTTACTGATACTGTTTTTGAAACCAAATCTTTGCATAACTACAGGAAACACTGCATCTAACAATGGTTTGGAAAAAAAATAGTTCATTAAAAAATAATAATAAATAAAAGCATATACACTAACTCAAATACTGTTATCTAATAAGCATGTGTCCTATTCGGTGTACTAAACTCCTGAAACATTGGTGTCTCTTTGTATGTGATATGATAGTTTTCTCAAAATAAGTAAAATGCTCATGAAGTGACTCAGAGCAGTTCTAGAGATTATGTTTATGTGTTCATGTACTCATATATTGAGGCGGCAGAGGCTGAAAACCTAGCTTCAGTAGTACAAAAATTAACCATGCTTTTATATAGTAAAAGTAACCATGTTTTTTTTTTTTTTTGGCAGATGGATTACCATTTGTATTTATTTTTACTACAAATTCCATGGTTAAACTATGGTTAGTGTAGCAAAAACCATGGTTAATTTGTGGTTACCATGGTTTAACAATAGTAACCATTGTCTTTGGATTTATAGTAAAATCATCGTTAATTTTCGTAAGGGTTGTGTTGTCTGTCCTAGCTCCCCCTAAACCTATTATAAAATATTATTTGTCTGCTAAATTACTCCTGTAACATTACAATAGATAATAATGGTGTCCTTTATACAGTATTTTGAGTGATGACTGATGAGCAATGATGGGCTGCTGCTGCTTAACTAAGTAAACAAAGACAAAACTACAATAGCATATTTACAGATGAAACTGACCTGCACTTGAAACCCTGAACAGTAGTTGAAACCCTGAACAGTAGTTTTGCTTCTCTGCTCCATCTGTGCACTTCCACAGTCCACTCCATTCTCTCTCTCGCATTGATGACTCTGATCCAAACCGTTTGGCGGAGGCGAGGAGAGCAGTCCGCGCCTGATTTCCACAGACACGCAGAACGTGCAGGATTCATATATTGTCTTTTTGCGGCTTAATATTCACAGACACTAGTCCATATCGCGTTTTGATTCAAGTGTACTGACCTTCTTTTGATTTATTCGTCCAAAATGTGGCATATTCAATCCGCGTTAGGCTATAGGAATTCCATTTTTATAACTGGATTCTACGAACCAGTCTGTGTTTTCCGCATGTGTCTCAAAGTAGCAGTGGATGAAAGAGTACTGAAGAGTACTGTTACATTGCTGAAATAATACTCAATTACAAGTAAAAGTACTGGTGTCAAAACAGTACTTAAGTAAAAGTACAAAGTACTCCTCTCAAAAACTACTCAGAGTACTAGTTACTAGTTACTTTTTAGCCGGCGATATTTAATGAATTACCAAAAATATTCATATCAAAGATCTATGTGGATAATAGTTACTTTGAACAAAACCCACTTTTATCTTATTGACAAAGTATGTGAATTAGTGGTAATGATGCAGGAATTTCTAACTTCAATACCTTGAAAAATATCAGTATCAAAGTACCCGTGAACCGGAAGTTGCAACTGACTTCAGTGTTGTGATGTGTTTCCAAGTGAAACGGAATATTGAATAAAGGGCAGGGTTTTATTGTGGTGCACCTCCACTCCACCTCTTGCTCATGGCAGATTCACGGTTGGATAGGAGAGGTTAAAGGGATCCTATTATGCTCTTTTACAAAGCCTTGAATTTGTTTTGGGGGTGTACTAGAACATGCTCTCCTGCTTGGTGGTTCGAAAAACGCATTATTTTTCACATAATTTACATTATTAACATACCTTTCTCTCCATCCTGGCACAAACGGCTCTATTAGTTCCGGGTTTGATGAAGGCCCGCCGTCCGAAAAACGAAATGTGTTGTGATTGGTTAGCTGTCCCACTGCGTTGTGATTGGCGAACAGCTTAGACAGTGTTTCAGTACTGCCCCGCCTCTTGCCAAAGCAGCAAGTTCCGTCTGCTCCGGTTTAGTTAAGGATGGCGTCAATATTGCCATATCAATCTGAGCCGGATTCAGACCCAGAGAATATTGAACAAGAGGATCGCGCAGAACCTTTGCACGCATGGATATTGCAAGACATATTAGAGTGGAAACGTTTTATTGGCTAAATCACGTTTTAGATAGGATGTCAACAACCGCTTTAAAACAACTGCATTTACTATGTACAGTTAAGTGCAACGGTAATATGTATTACATCACAGAAACGGCATACAACTTATACTTTGAAACGTAAATAACACACACAACAACAAATAAAGCAGCACACTTACAGGCTGTGATGCAGATACAGCAGATTGTCCCGACAAAGTGGGAACTGCTCCGTCTTTCAGCAAAAGCTTTTTGGCAAAACCAGCACTGTACTCCCTCATGACTCCCCTCAAAACTTGACGCTAGTGCAGCACTTCTTCATCGTCGTCTTGTCTGATGCACTCAACCAAGCGTTCTAACCACGACTTCGCCCCTCCCCACCCCCCAACCATTCGAATTTCCGTAGGCAGGATTTATTTTAATGATATTCTAATGGGCCGCTTTGTGACATCACAAACCCCAGAAAACAACGCTGTAGTCCAAACGAGCTGTTCGTTGTAGTTCTTGAAAAGGGATTTTTTTTTAAACGAAATATCTCCCTTTGGAGTGGACTTTGAGATGATGTCATGTAATACTGAAAAATTATAACCCTAACCTTTATCTCCATACTGAAATCCCAGATGGCCAGACAGTGATTCAGCTAAAATATTAGTGTCTAAGATACTGTGAGCACGGAGACTGTAGTTTTTAAGTTTACATTTTTAAATGCTTAGCTTAAATATGTAATATTAATTAAATAGTGCTCATAAATGGTTGCTGAGATAGTATTCTCAAGTGAAATAACTAGAGGCATGGACCTGGAAAGAGCAGTCCTTTTACATCATGACTTAACAAGAGGATTCTCCCGAAGCAGTCAAACTGACGTCATCAGAGCGAGAACGCCATTCAGAGCGGAAGTGACGGCAGACAATTTTTTTTTACAGTGTATTGACTTGCATGGTTCAATTGTTCACCACAAGACTAGTAATGTGCACTAACAAAGTAAGTAGGGTATATAGCCATATAGATATTTTTTTTTTAAATTTGTCCATACGTTTTTTCAAGGTACTCATTATTTTAAGCTTTGAAATTGGTTTAATCCAAGTCTTCTAAAAAGACACATTGGCTTTATAAGATTAACCGATTTTATATAGGCTTTTATTTACATACGTATAAATATTGATCAATTACCATTACAAAAATCTCAATCTTAAACATTTGCTCATTCTGTGTATCTGTGCCTATAAAATAGGGTAACTTTGTTGCAAAAGCTTACAGCAGAAGGAAGCTTGATTTCAAATTTGCTTTCAAACTGAATTGAATTTACAAAACAAGACAAGAACACAGTCAGTAATAAAATTATAAAACAAATGACCTCACTTCAGTTTGAGGTATTAAAGATATGACAACAGTGAATTTTTATAAGCAGTGATTTAAGAGCCATATACAGTATGTTAGGCCTATTTATTTAGATAAATGGAACATCAGATGGCTTTGACCTGTAATGTCTGTACAATGTAGTGATGCAGTTAGGCAGACTAGGATATTTATAATGTACAAATCAGACAAATATCCCATTCCAAAACATTTCTAGCATAAACTCACATTGTAAAGAAATTAAAGTTCCATCTTTGATTGTTGAAAGACTTTCTGGTGCATTTCACTTACAGTTTCCAGTAGGATTTTCATCGGTCAGGCGTGGATCTATTCTGAATGGTTGATAACTTTTGACAAAGTTTAATCCAGGAGCAAAGAGAAATAATGTCTACTTTTAAAAGCACGGAGAGATCGCGATTACACACAATCCGCACACAAGCAATATCGTAGTGAGAGGACAGGCAGTTCATTTGTATAAGTTAGGCCTATTTGAGAGCTCGCATCCAGTTTTCTGCGATTACATGACTGTGTTCTCATGTTACAATAAAGCGCTCGCCACATTTGCGCGGGAATGATTAAAATGATGCGGAATACCTGCAATCCCGCTTAGATATTCAGACTCTGTAATTGACAGGAGGCGATGCGTGTCAAACTCGCTGTCAGAAAGGAAAAAGAGAGGCAGCTTGGAAAAGCGGCGGCTTTACATTTGCGTGGGAATGATTAAAATTATGCGGAATACCTGCAATCCGTGCGAATATTCAGACTCTGTAATCGACAGGAGGCGGACGCGTGTCAAACTTACTGTCGGAGAGGAGAGAGAGACGCAGCTTGTGTCGGTGTATATTCGGTAGATACTGTGGAAAATGAGT